GGGAGGGAGGGAGGGAGGGAGGGTAAATCGAAACGTTTAAATCATCTAACATGTTTAACAGCCCCGGTCTCTATGCTAGACGCTAGACCTTAGACACAGCACCGAGCCCGTACCCCCGACACTCGCGCAAGTAGCCCAAGAACGGGGCTGAGTGAGACAAATGTCCCTAGAGCCTCAATCTAATCCACCCCAGCTCCAAAGTAAATGTAGGGTCTAGGGCCAGTGTCGGGTCGTGCCTGTGTGTGGGTGAATTTTTCGCGGGCCCAGTTTAGTCGGCCTCCACAATCTCAAGGAAGTTTAGGCCCTAGGCTTTCTCAGTGTCTACCCGGACCTGAGCACTAGAACTCTCTCACCGCGAAACCCTGTACGTGTACTCCGAACGAAGGAAAATCGTTCGGCACAACTGATTGAATCCTTAGGCGCCTGAGACCGTAAATCCTGATTCGCGTAGCTTAGCCCGCCCTTATCCGGTCCACTTCGTAAGTAACTACTCACAAACAGCTTGCAGAAAGGGTTGGGCCAGGGTTCCGAGTTTGGGGAAGACTGTCGAGGGTTCGCGCAGAAGACGTGAAGCCTGTGACAGGCATCAGTCACAAGAAGTTCTTTTCACCCGCAATCAGCACAGTATTTCTTATGAAGCCAAGCAAGCAGAACTGTCAACCACTATCCGCAACCTACTGTGAAGCAACAAGTTTCGTAATGCGACAGCGGAACTATGAAACTTAGCGCAGGCTGTTTTTGTGGAGCCCTCCCAGCTGAACAGGTGGGACGGAGGTACGTGGAGGGAACTCCAACTACGGCTTAGGCAAGAGGGTGCACCTCGTTGTGCTTGGGAATTTAGGTTTCAGAGTTTAGGCCTTCGAATTCAGGTTTAGAAGTCCTGCACTCAGCTGCCAGTAGCACAGCTTTGCAGCCCCTTGATATCTCCAGCACCCAGAAGTCTCAGAGGCTCATATCAAGAAGTGTGCAGAAGCCCTCTGACACCCAGGCATCCCAAGACTGGAGACGTCTAGATTTTCTGCTTCGCACGTGTGCATTTAAGGGTTTCAGGGTAAGCTGGATCAGTTGGGTGTCGCTGGGGCAAAATCAACAAGTTGGCTTAAGCCTTTATTGATGCCTAAGCTCTTGTTGGGGTTCTGCCACACCCCACACTGACCTAAACCCTGTTGGTCTTGGTGTTGACGGTGCAACCTTCCACCTTCAGTCCACGAATGCAGGGATTGGGTTTAGAACTAGGGGCATATGGAGTTGAGGGTTTGCTGTACTTCAGGTAGGTTGTGCATGAAGTCTGCGTGGAGAAGTCGCTGGCTTCAAAAGGTGCCTTTGTCGCTCAAGGACTTCCTTTTCAGACGTATTTGGCTCAGAGTTCATAAGTTTGGGCGGGTTGCATTGTGCATGTTTGGTACTTTCTCTTTAATCCTCAATCTCCTAGCGCAAGTTTGATAATCACCCCGCACGTCCTCGTTGGCTATTTCTGCTCCGAAGTGTAGCTCTCCTCGTCTATGTCAACAAGAACTGGCTCGGGGCAGCAATTCCTAGCAAGCTTCGGAAGCCCCTTCGAAGGAGCTCTTTCTCGAGGGATGCCAGGGTGGAGGCATGCAACTCATACAGCTGCTGACTCTGCTGACTATGCGCAAGCTGTGGAAAAGGAACGGAAAAGAAGCATGAAGCTCGGTTCGAAGGACGTGAAATCCGTTAAAAGTTCGCTGGCATCGCACTACTCCTCTAGCAGATGCGAAATCGAAGAAAGCCCGAGTAATCTGCCATGCTCCTTTTTCTTGTGCGAGGATCAAGGGGGCCCTGAACCCTTCATCTGAGGTCCCGGGTCTCGGGTACTATGATACTACTATTCAGGACTATTCATACTCTTGCTGGGGCTGCTACTTGTTTTGGGGATCTATGGCCTCAAGAAGAGCGGTCGTGTCTCTTTCATGTCCTGGGCCCCCTCTTTGCCCTGGACACTGCGGAAGCTGAGCCCCTGACGACTATGCCCAGTCACCCGACATTGCCTGGCTTCGTTTGGTAGGATCCTAACCACTTTAATGCCTGGTCAGCCACAATCGGAACTACACTGTAGTTCCGATACACTGGCGAGTAGAGCCTTAAACTGTTGGAAGGCCAAGAGAGGGCGCAGGACTCTGCCCGCCAAGAACCACCAAATCTCCTTCATAGTACCAAACCTTGCATTGCTATTCTCGTAGCTGAAGCAGATGCGAGTCTGGTGGGTCTTGGAGGATCGAAGATTGAGACTAGAGATGAATTAGCACGTCCACAGGCCCCTTAGGCCCAGAGCTGCTGGGTTCTGCTTCGCCCATCGCGAAGCTGCCCGGGAGCGGGAGCTTGGTGGGCTCCTGCCGATGTAATTTGGCGGTGTCTGGATGGGGGTTGATACTTACGACGTGTCCCTGATTTCTCAAACTCTCATTCAGCGAAAAAGCCGGGACTGCACTCGATCTTCTCAAGATTGAGTTCAAAAATGGTACAAACGTCCCGAATAAGCCCATCAACCATCCCCAAACTACCCCAAATCCACAAACGTCCGGTGGGCCCTATCTGGAACCGCCTAAATTCCAGACACCAAAACTTTGAAAGTTCCTGAGATGTAAGACTGGATGTTCCAAATCCTTACAGCCCGATGCCATAATTCCCTAAACCGACGACCTAAAGCCCCAAACCCTAAAATCATCAGCCTCAAACTCCTACAGCTCCTGGAGCAGGACGTCAGGAGACTCCTGAAGCTGGGTGGGATGCAGCGCATCGGAATCCCGCCCTGAGGCCTGCAGTTCCTGGGCTGTTGCGGGGGCTTCTTACAAAAAACCAAAGGGATCGCTGATGAAGTTTCTGGGCTCTTTGGTGGCTCTTAAGACCAGAGGCTTTGGCATGCCTGGTTTTACGGTTTGGGGATTTAGAATTAGGTCTCACCAGTAGTTCCGGGGGAATTCTCAAACGAAAGGGGTGCCTTGTGTAGGGGCATGGAATCGAATATACACTTAACGTCGGAATTACAGTTCCTGGGCTCTGTAATCTCTGAAGGGCTTTCAGAATGAGACTGTAGCATTCAATGGTTTGGAGCTGTGGAATTTGGGTTTGTGTCAGGGCTGTACGGGGCTTGGAAGCCAAGTTCTAGGCGAGCAAGGCTTAGGGCACAAGCGATAGATTACTATTTCAATTCTTTGGGGTTTGGGTTGAAGGGCTCTAAGCTGTACGCGGAGCGCCAAAGTGTACTTAAATTCAGAGCAGCTGTGGCGAGTGCCACAAATACGTGACAACTTTTGAACAGTGCAAAGAAAAAGATCCACTGGACGCGCACAGGCCGTAATGTACAGCAGTGACCATTTTATGAAAGTGCCGTGAACATGCGTGAAAGTGCCGTGAATAAGCCCGACAGTGCCGTGAATATGGGTGACATACTCCAAGTGCGGTGTCGAGCTTTCTTCGGCGACTGTTGAAAACAAGCCAACTGTCATCCAGTTGCCACGTTTTTCGACAACATACAGTGTTCCGAGATCCTGTAGGACGCGAGAGTTTGGCTTCAGGGCTTTATTGTACTCTGTTCAAAGGTCTCGTGCTCTGGGGCTGAAACCTGGGCTTTAAGGGTTCTTTTGTTGAAGCAGGGGTGTCTTGTCTTGTCTCTGTAGAAGTACAAAGAGTTTAGAGATTAGAAGGTTTGGACCTGCGGGCTCTGGGTTTTTGATTTGGGACTTCGAGTTCCGGGCTGTTCAGCTTCGGGGTTTACGGCATAAAGTTGTTGCATGTTCCGTGCCGTGGAAGTCGTACACAGTGCTTCTGAGTGTCGCATGTTGACAAGAAATGGCATCGGGATGCCAATAGTACAGATTTCAGAATGCGCACTAAGGGTTATCAACCGTATGCAGTATGCCTCAGTAACATGTCCTGTGCCAGGAAACAGCCGTAAGTGTATCTATCTGTATATGTATATACATATGCGGAACTATACATATACATGTATATATGTATAAACACACGGTGTTTACCGGTATACAGACACATACATGCGGTCACATACATACATACATGCATGCATGCATGCATACATACATATATACATATCTATAATTATTCGTGTTGGACAGAAAGATATAGATTCAAGCTAATCGACCCCAGCCTCTGGACAGGGTGACCTCTCTTTTTAAGGGCCTGTTGGCTGTCAGGACTGTAGAGGTCTAGAGGCTCTGTCACACAGGACAGCCCGGAATTGAATTTCACATCTTCAAATCACAAGTTCAGGGTGTGGCATCCCCCCTCGAGGTACTGTTTTTCGGGTCTGTCAAGCCCTTAGGCGGGCGAAGAACCGCATGGGCAAAGAACGAAACCTACTGTGGGTTGAGCTACAGTGGCAACTGGCTCCCTCGTCAACCGGCCCCTCAAGCTGGCTGTAGGCGAATCTCAAAACAGAGGTGTCGCGCATGTGCCAGGCGAAGGGGTATCTCGCGGCCACCGGAGAAAACATGGATGGCCTGGCACAGGCTCGAAAACAAATTTAGGGTTGGTGGGACGGGGCGCTATCATAAATCTGCCAGACAAAAAGAAGCTGTAGAGTGTGCGCTGTCATATCTATCATAAATCTGTCAAGCAAAATAAGCGGTAGAGTGTAACGTAGCCATATCATGCTGTTAACGAAGCAAAACAATGGAAAAAACCCTCCGTTCGATCCTGGGCAAATCGCTGGTGCGGGATGGGCTGATTGAAGAAATAGGCCAGATTGCTCCGCAGGCCCTGCCTGTCAAGTAGAGGGACTGAAGCTATTCTGCATCCGAAAAATCCACGACTCTGTCCCAAGCCATCTGCCCTGTGGCTGGGGTTCGGAATTTATGTAGGGCTCAGGCTCGGGTGACTTGGGCTAAACTTCAATTGCCGCCTTGATGGTTATGCAAAATGTTGATAGCGGCAAGTACTGAGGCAGCGATGTTACAGGGTGGCGTCATGGGATGGGCGCTCACTGACGGGTCTAGGCGGTACTCAGGAACAAGATTCTGCGCGGAGGGCCTGCATTGAACCTTGAACAACACGGCTTGAGGCCAGGATTGAAACAGGTTGGCACACTTCAGGACACCCGGTTGAGGCTGTAGATCCTGCTTTAAGAAGTGGAAGAGCATAGTCCATGTCAACGTGTCGAAGATTGCAACAGCAAGCGGATCATAATGATAACGATGACGACGATTATAGTTGTCACCATGGCAACCGTCATAAACAGCACAACAAAAACAATCTCGACCACCTGCATCTTTTGCAACTGCCGCAGTCAGGGAGCCTAGAGGCTGGCACTGCCCAGCCCGGATGGCGCCAGTAGTTGGTAGGGGGGGGGGATGGCTAGAAGCAGTGGCGCTAGCAGCAGCAGGAGCAGGAGCAGGAGCAGGAGCAGGAGCAGGAGCAGGAGCAGGAGCAGGAGCCGTAGCTATAGTCGAAGCAGTAGCAGTAGCGTGGAAGTAGAAGTAGTAGCAGTTGTAGCAGTAGTAGTAGTCGTGGTGGTCGTGGCGGTCGTGGTGGTGGCGGCAGTGGTGGTATTGGTAGCGTTAGTCGCCGTGGTAGTGCTGGTGCCAGTGCTACTGCTAACGCTGATGCTGGTGCTACTGGTAGTGCTAATGCTCGTGCGGGCCTGCGTCAGGCCTAGTGCCCGTGCGGGTTGTAGCGCTAGTGGCAGGTCTTGTTGCTGTTGCCTTTGCTTTTGCTTTTGCTGTTGCTCTCGGTGTTGTGGTCGTCGTTGTTCTTGTTGTTGTTGTTGCTGTTGTTGTTGATGTTGTTGTTTCTGTTGTAGTTATAGTTGTGTTGATGTTGTTACTCTTGCTGTTGCTGTTGATCTTTCTGTTGCTGCTGCTGTTGTTGTTGTTGTTGTTGCTGCTGTTGCTGTTGCTTTTGTTGTTGTCGTTTCGGTCTCGCGCCCTTTCATAATGTTACATGCGGCTTGGCACGGAGTCAAACACCTGAAAACACCTTTCGTCGCCGGCTGTCCTTTCAAGGCTGAGTCAATCCCTGTGTTGCCATGCGCCCCCCACAAGACAAAGGCTTCTTGTAGTCCTGCATGTTAACAATGCGTGCCCTCTGCTCACACTTTGGTTCGCGGACCCGATCGCCATAGCATACCGCATCAAGAATACACCTGTCAGCCTGTCAAAAGGAACAGCACAACGCCCAGAAAAACAAACTGCAGCAAAAAGATGGGTAACCTTGCTATTGCTGCCATACAGCTTGTTGAATCAAACGCGTCAGACCCAATAAACTAAACCTGAAATTCCGGCCGGAACCCTGAACCTTAACCATGCTCGTGACCTTTGGGCGACGCTGATCGCAAACAGCATATTCCCGTCCGCAGCCATCATGTCCTCGGCTCGAGTCTCAGCAGAATGCACGGGCTTACGGGGGTTTGGGGTCTAGGGTTACCGTCTCTAGGGTTCTGGGCCAAGGAGGTTGGGATTGAGGCTTTTTGAGTTCCGAGCTTTCGCTCGTGTACGAGGCTGAGTAAGTTGTGACCGTGGTAAGTATTGTGCATAGTCTTCCCAAGCCACTGCGATCTCCAGACGGCACCCTTGTGAAAACACCAGATAGGGTCGTCTCTTCTACAGGTAGCTTGCGAGGGTTTGGCGCGACAGCTTAGAGCGCCGGTGTAAAAAAAAATTGCCCAGAAGTCAAAACTGTATGCAATGTGGATTGCTGCACAAACTAGAATTGTCAGACTGACAGCGGTGTACTCGTTCGGGGGATCCACAGCCAACCGTACGTTGGAAGGTGACTCCTTCACGGATCACTTAGAACCAGTTCCGACACAGCCTGCGCAGGCGCCATAATCATTGAGTTATGTGTATACATATATACATATATATATATATACTGGCCCCCCTGTACAACCTACATTGGGTTTGCTTGGTTATGAACTATTGCCAGTGCATATATCAAACACTAACGAGAGTATTGCTTGAGCAGGCGGCAGGGCGAATATACCATGACCATACGATACATGCAAGTGACACTCCCAATCCGACGACTTACCAGTTTCCAATGTATTTTAAAAAATACTATTATAACAATGGACGAATATACCGACGTACCACTGACTATGCAAGTATGCAAACATGCTCATATACTAATACATTCATGTATTAGTATACCATTTCAAACCTACTACCGATACGAATACTACCGCGCCTACGAGTACTAGTAGTATGTATATTCATACTAATACCAATACTATTACTAAGGCTCACATTGACATTGATTGTCAATACTCATACGCATACTAATACATATAGACTTACTAACGTATAATATACATACGACTATATTAAAGTATCAGTGAATTAGCACATTGATGTACTAATAGGTTATTTTTCTTGTACTCAAAAACCAATACACGACTACACTCATGCACCCATATGTAAATATGCTAATAAGCGAATATATTAAATGACTAATATACGAGTATACTAATATAAGAACATACCAATATACGAATAAACAAATATACCAACATGTCAATATACTCATACATTCATATTACACTAATATACGAAAACGGTAATGTACTATACAATTTTACTAATGTGTTAGTACAGTGAGAAACTAATTTATTAATATACAAATACACCAATTTCCAGTCTACTAATACACTCATAAAATAGCATGCTGATACACTAACGTACGATTACACAAATATACAAATATGCTGTTTTACTAAAACATTCATCTACTAGTATACTGATCTACTAATAAACTAGTATACCGATCTACTAATAAACTTTTCCATGAATACGTAACATATACACAATATATATAAACTCGTACTAATACGGATACTAATACGTATACGATTATTAATGCAAATGCTAACATGTATACTCCGACTAACACTAATAATACAAATACTAATACTCACACTGACATTGCAACTGGCACTAACAGTAATAATCAACACTAACACTAACTCATAATAATATAGGAATACTGATATTATTTGTGACTACTAACACTAAAAATACTACTCAGACTAATATTAACAGTAGACAAATACTAACACTGACAATTATACAAGAATTAAGAATACTCAAAATACTACTAGCAGTAATGAATACTAAGTTTGGAACTGCATCAACGAAATCATCATCCGCAAGATCTGCTATCAGTACGTGCACAGACAACGTGGAAACTGCGTCAGGGAAGAATAGCGTAATATATCCATGCCAGCAGTGACAATTCCCCGTGAATCCGAAAACCCATTATTCTCGAGGAGATTGTGGCACGAAGTTTGGATTTTTGGATTTTGCAAATGTGGAAATGTGGAGGCCCTCCGCATTTCCACGTTTGTGAATAGCTAGGGCCTACAAATGTGGAAATACGAAGGGCCTCCACATTTCCACATTTGCAACCCCATGCCTCCAGAAGATGTGGAAATGCGGGTGAGTTAGGGCTTGCAAATGTGGAAACGTGGAAATGTGGAGGCCCTCCGCATTTCCACATTTGCGAATTGCTAGGGCCGACAAATGTGGAACTACGAAGGGCCTCCAGATTTCCACATTTGCAAGCCCCACGCCTCCAGAAGACGTGGAAATGCGGGTGAGTTAGGGCTTGCATATGTGGAAATGTGGAGGCCCTCCGCATTTCCACATTTGTGAATAGCTAGGGCCTGCAACTGTGCAAATGTGCAAATTTGGAGGCCTCCCACATTTCCACATTTGTGAATAGCAAGTGCTAGAGAAATGTGCGTGCTTTCTGTTGTGAGGCGCTTGGAATGATGGTGAAGAGCGTACCTGACAGCCAAATATATAAGCAAACGTAGGTTCCGGGGAGGGGCAGACACACACACACACACACACACACTATATATATATATATATATATGTATATATATATATATATATATATACATATGTGTATGGTAACCCCCCATGAACTACCGACCCT